CGCGCTACATCACCGGGCTTGTTCGAGCCTCTCGCAACATTTCATTCTTCAAACGCTGCTCTTGCAAAGTTTTCTCGCGGGATCCGAGGAGGGGCTTGTGAGTCCCGGAGGGTCAAAGGTGCGCCCCGGTTCTGTCGGAAGGATATGCGGGGATATTCAGTTTGCAGAGGTCCAAGCTCGGGCTCGCCGCCCCCACTTTGAAAACCGCCCATGAAAAAACAAAAAACAACTAAGACTGCTCATTTTCAGCCTTTCCCACAGTGAGTCAGTCTGCCGGCTCAGGAGCACATACCCCAACAGCCCCCCCGCCCCCTCCCTTTTTTTTCTTTTTTATAGCTGAAACTGATCCTCCACTTTCTGCTTCGGATGTTTTCCGCCTTGTGAAAACCCAAATCCTGACGATTTCATTTCAAAGCTATCCGTTAAAGGACGCATCTGGTCAGCTCTTATCTTGCTTATGAACCACGTGGCGTTCTAATGTGGAGTTATTAGCGGACGTTTAGCGTCGAACACTTGACTCGGTTCTCTTTGGAGGCTCCATTAGCAAACGACGGGGCGCTGGCGCATGGGTGCGCCAGAGCTAGCTCTGTTCGGGTGTTGAAAGCTTTGTGGCGTAAAAGTCAGCACAGCTGTACGCTAAAGCAGCTTTGTTTGCATTGGACTTTGACTTCAGTTTAGTTTTGGGCAGGTTGATATGCAGTTGCGGTGGCAGAGAGGAGGGTGTGTCAAATCTTTGGGCCCGTTGAACGGCAAATATGGCTCCGAGTTTCAGGAAGGCTGTTTGATCACGGGAATCCTGCTCACCGTGGCTGCGCCGTGAGCTCAACGGTGTGTGTGTGTGTGTGTGTGTGTGTGTGTGTGTGTGTGTGTGTGTGTGTGTGTGTGTGTGTGTGTGTGTCTTAAAAAGTTTTGGGGGTTGAGGTTATGGGGTCAAGGATAGGGGGCGTGCTGAAGGGTGTGCCTGCCTGGGTTAGAAATCAATTGCTTGCGTTGATCGCCTCATATTTCGCCGGCGTGTGGCCTAAACCTCCCATTTCAAGTTTTTGGGGCCAATGGCCACGATTGGTCTGTGCACACGCGTGGGCGTTATTCGTTGATTTTTGGGATGACACACGTTTAAAGTGAACGTAAATGTGAAAACGTGCACGGTTGAAAAGTGCCGATTTTGGTGGTGCGAGGATTCCACCACCAATTTCGCATGACGTCGGGCATGTTTCGAGTTGATTGGACAAAAGTTCATTCCATGTTTGTGGTTTTCAGAGAACGTGCAGAAATGAATCAAGGCTTGGATTCCCTCTTCCGAGGCGAGGCAGAGTCCTTTCTTGCGGGTCCACTCTGATTAAAAAAAAGAGAAACATTTGCAAACTAAGCCTTGCTTTCGCTCCGCCGCCGGTGCTTGAATTGCCTCTCTCGTCTTGTAATGCATGAGTCGGCTATGATTGAATTTGTCACTGTATGAATCCGCACAGAAAAGATTTGGGAAGACGTCGGATGGGATAAGCAAACGCGTGAAAACTAAGCTCATCGCCGCTGATGGGTTGAGCAGCGAGCAGTGGACACGTCAAATCATCCGGGGTTGGAACATAAGCGACCCGTCGGGCAACTTGCAATTCGCAGCGCTCTGAAGGGAAAGATCACAGCACACATTTGGGCATTTCAAAATAAATGCAAGTAATCACACATGCGCAATTGGTCACATTTTATGTGACGATATCGCAGCGGTACGATGATGGACGGCGAAGCCCCCGGGCGCCCTCGGCGAGGTAAGCGCCGGAGCGGTCGGACGGCCGGCCGGATGGCCGGCGGTGTAAAGTTGCAGCGCCGCAGAAAGTAGAAGTCGGGGCACGGTAAATAAAAGAAGCCGCGCGCCAACGTGCTTGTCGGTGACCCCACACACGCAGCAGATGTGGACGAGATCAAGCCGCGGCGTAATCAAATCCTCCCCGTTCTAGCCTTAGCCATTAGGATAAATTGTCGGGAGAGAGAGAGAGAGAGAGAGAGACGGCCGGCCCTGATTAAAGGCCTTGTCACAGTCCATCGGCGTTCTTCCCCCGTCCGTCGCCAAGCCGCCGCCGCCGCCCGCATGGAGGACACGTGAAAAGCGGGCCCAGAAAGAGACGGCGGCCGGGCTCTTATTCCAGGCCGGCTTTTAAATCAAAGCCGGGCGGATTGTCAGCGAGCTTTTTATTTGCCTTTTTACGAGCGATGCGACTTTGATGGCTTTTAATGGGGCTTCATTTGGCGCGGCGGTGGCTTCTCCAAGGCCCCCGCGCAGGCCCGGAAAACGTGCAGCCCCACTTGCGTTCACACGGCAGTTTCTGCGGCCGTGCAATACGACGGAAATAAAACATGCGTAAAATGTACTTCCTTTTCCCCGCCTTGTTTGCGACATCTCGAAAAACCATACTTTATACTTCTCCGGACAAATCAACGCCGTGGTCTCGCAGACGCCGTAAAAGGATGAGCGAGAGAAAGGAAAGAAGCGCAAAATACCCAAGATGCAAGTTCTGCAATTCCCGTATGTCATCAACTCTTCTCACGTGAGGCGAGTCGACCCCCGTAGCGTTCGCACGTCCCATTTTATATCGGCGCCGTGCCGCAAACGAGCATTTACTCCGGAGTCCATTTTGAAACCACCTCCCGAGCAGGGTTCAGTTTGCTCCGGCTGAAGCCGTTTTCAGGGGCTACACTTCGTACGTGTGAACGCTCTCCGCGGGGGGGCAGCCCCGGTACGACACCGGAGTCAAAGTTGTCGTGTGAACACACCTCATGCCGCCAAACTGCCTGGCCCCTCCCCCTTTTTCGTGCAGGCTGAACCATTGCGCACGTCAAGAATAACATGTCATGTTTCTGACTCATTTTGAAGACGCTCCAAAGCGAGGCTGAAGTTCGGAGAGCGTCGTGAACCGCATCGAGTTTCCAAATGGCGCGGGGGGGGGGGGCTGACGTCAAGAAGCAACTCCGTGGACAGAACAGCGAGTGTTGTTGAAAACAAAACGCTCCAGCGTTTAAAAGTGCAGCTAATAACCTTCATTACACGGCCCGTTGAGTTGCTTTATTTGTCGACATAATGACAAATACGCGCCGATGCGTTTTGTGCGCAACAGTGAAGATAAGTGTGGCCCTCGTTAAAACGATTTACGAGACTCACAAAAACAGAAACAACCTATTGTTTGTCCGCATCGCGCTCGTAAACGTTCATGTCGTGTCTCAATTTGCACTCCATCTTTCAATCTGCTCGTTTACTGCCTTTTGTTTACATCGGTTTTCGTGGCTGGGCTTTTTTTTTCTGTTGATGGAATAGTTTGCGCCTTTATTGTATGACAAAGCAGGAAATGCGACCGAAAAGTGCGGCGACTCATGACGTTTTTCCCCCGAGCCAAATACGCGAATTATTTTGAATAAGAGCACGCTCGTGAGCCCACGTTACATCCATGAACGGTTGACTTATTCGACACAAACAAAGCACCTTCCCCAAAACATGGCCGGCGGGTTGAATACGGCCCCCTTCCCCATTTTGCCCCCCCCCCCCCAACAATCCCAGAGATGTGTTACCTTTTTTTTTTTTTTCTTTTCACTCTGGCCACATGCTCGAAACTTGTGCACGCATAGAATGTAACATTCTCTTCAACCCTTCTGCAGTCTGTGCCCTATCTGGAAAAATATAAAAATAAAATCCTGGACACACCGCTGGCAAATAAAGCGGAACAATGGCGAAAAGATTGGGTAAGAGAAAAATGGATCGGTTATTATTGATTTCATAGGTAGTGTTCTTTATTTCATGAAAAAAATTCTTTCATCATGGCAGCCAGTCTCACTTTGAAACCGTCATTTGTGCCTTCGTCACATCCCAGCCAGATGACTGTCACGCACTTGACTTTGGAGTCCTCCACGCAGCGTCTCCAGTTGGTCGGGAATACTGCCGCTCGCCTCTTTTTATTCTTTGGGCTTTTCAAATCAATCGGCAACTCGTGCATGGCGTTTCGGTGAGAGGCAGAAATACGGCAGGCCACGACGCCGTCCGCCCGTATTTGATGTGACAACAGTGAAGGTGGCGGCCGGGGCGCGCTAACACCTTGACAATTGGACACACATGTGCGACCGTGCGAGGTAGGGCGAAGAACTTGTTCAAAAAAAGAAATGAATCCATAAAAAGGAATTCCTTTGGCCTTCTGCAATCAAAGTGGGAGCGTTTGATTACGGATCAGGAGGGTGGCTTTCAGAAAGCAGGCTTGTTGTTGAGCTGAGGCGTTCGCTCCTCGTCGTCACTGTGAGACGGGTCAAAGGTCAAATGGGCGTGGGTTGGGGGGGTTACTCCAACACTCACAGTCCGAGTCCCGACGGAAGGGTCTTATCGTGTGCGAGGAGGTCGCACGGGCAAATTTGCGTCGCCCTTCCTCGGTTTCCTTTCCATCCTTGGGCCGTCTGCCGATGTGGTTTTCATGCCGTTCCGCACTGTTTTCTCCCCGCTGCGCATTCGACTCGGAGTGACGCCGTTTGCGTCAGGTGGACTTGGTCAAGTCTTCCGAAAGCGGCAGAACGAAAAGAGCCGCTGAATTGAGAAAATGCCAAGTTGATCGGTCACAAAGTGGCACGTTTGCGCCTGTTCAACGTTTCAAAGCTTTTAACGCAGCTGCCGTGATGATTTAGTTCCCCGTTTACTTCTCTTGAAGTGACAGGCACGTTTGGTGCCCCCCCCCTCTCCAAAAAAAAAAAAAAAGAAAAAAAGAACAACTCCGGGGTTTGAGCAAACGGCCTCTTGTGTCGGTGTTTGCTGGCATCTGCTGGACGGGCAGAACATGACTTCCTTTATTTTTATAAATAAAAAAGAAACATTTATTGTTGTGCATGCTTTCTTCTTCTCCCTAATTTTGCTGCTGTGGACTGGAAATTTCCCCAGTGTGGGACAGATAAAGGATACCTTATCTTATCTTATTTTAGTCCCCATCCCAATTCTCTCGGTTGACTTGAACAAAACGATAAGAAACCGCAACACGGAATCGAGTTGACCGACATATTTAATCATATAACAGAGACACTTTCGGACACGGTTGTGGAACGTAACCCCTGCGATGGAGAGAGGTTGACTGTCTTGCAAATCGACAAAGCCCTCAAGGTGCAACTGGTGACAAATTCCCCCGATGACCTGGACCACTTATTCTTGGTCAGCGCAACGCTTGCCGCTTGGGAACACACTAGTTCAAGGCCCTGACCTCAACCCCCTGTGGCTCGACAGAGAAGGCGATCAGGAGGGGAAGCAGCTCCTCTCGAAGTCCAGTAGCAGCTGTCGGCCCAGGCGCTCGGCTCTGATCAAGTCCAAAACAAACAAACAAACAAATAAACAAACAACAGATGCTCAGTTTTGAGAGAAGTCCCGCAGCAGGGTATGCTCGAGACCATATCTTTGGTTGCGCTCGTCTTACTTCCAGAGAGGGGAGAACCACGAGGAGCCGACCTCACCGCCAATGCCTGCCGTCAAGAAAACGTCAAGTCCGGCTTACGGATTCAACACATGGTCAGGCTTTGAAATGGGGCTTTCAAAACATGCTAAGGGGTTCCAAATAGCGGTAGGGCTTCAAATTAGGGGTCCGAGGCAAGATCAGGGTTTGGAGCAAGGACTTGGGTTTCAGAACAGGGTTCGTATTTCGGGCTTCAAGACATGGGTTGGGGTTTTAAAGCAGGGTCCCAAGACAGGGTTAGGGCTTGAAAATTAGATGACGGTTGGAAATTAAGCTTTCGTGATCAAGTTGGGCTTTCAAATTAAAGTTTGAAGACGGGGTTTCATGCCCCAGTTCAAGCCAGTGTCAAGTTTCCAAAGCAGGGCTCGGTTTCGAGTGACTGTTTTGAAAATGGAGCGGGGGCTTTTGAAGGAAGCTTTTCAAGAAGTCACCTTGCAGCTGCGTGACGCCGGAGTAGGGCTGAGCGCATGCGTGCTCGCCGTCATGGCCGTTGCGGTGGCACCGTTCTTGTTGACCGCCCGTTTGGCTCAGAGTCCACTTGAGGACTTCCAGCATCTCCAGCACCAAGTCCACCATCAGCAGGTGAGCATTTTCCTTGCCACACACATTCACAGTTGAAACCCTCACCCACCCGAAAAATCCCCAATCCGTTAGACAGTAAAACCCTAACGCACCAAGTCTAACCCCCGAAACTTTACGCCAGCCCCAAGTCGAACCCTTAAAGCCGCAGAAACCTTTACCCTCGCCCTGAACCGCAAATCCCTTAACCCTAACCGATACCGCTAACCTTTGACCTAACCCAAAGAGCCACCCTTAAAGCTCACCTCAAAAGCCAAAGCGACCCCCCCCCAACCCCAGCAATTAGGGTTAGAATAGCTCTTCGCTATTCACGAGTAACCTTTTCTAGCTGCCATGGGGCACTGCAGTGGCCCATGCCCCGCCCCCTGTGCTTCTTCTCAGCCAATTGGAGTGTTCCACTGATGAGACAAGAGGGGATGCCTGCGATGGGGAGGTGTGTGTCCTCAGACCTTTAATTAGGGGGGGAAAAAAAAAAAGTCAAGTTCGACCGCTGAGGAAACCGCTCCACCAATCACACGGTCACGTACGAGGCGCGTCTGCGTCTGCGGCATCCAGAGATGACTGGGCTGCTGCGTCGGAGACCGCTTTGGTCCGCGGACTGCCCTTCGGAATCCTCCTCATCGGCTGCTTCTCCACAGGGTTGCGGTGGAGACATGTGGGCCTGGGGCAGAACCTCTTTCTTTGGACCTGAAAGTTGTGGGACATGCTTGCAAGGAAATCTCTGGGATCTGGAGCTGCCGGGGCACTGCGGCATTTGCCCCCATGTCCAAAATCTGCATTGTTCAGCAAAATTTATGGGACGGTGTTTTGAAATCTTATCTGGTGGGGCGACGCCAAACCCGCCCCTCCACCTGTGAGCAACAAATCTTGGTGAAATATTTCTTTTTCAACGCTGGTGGGGCAGTGCGACACTTGCCCCGGAAGCAAACTCAGACATCAAAAAAATACGGTCCACCGCTTGCCCCGAGAGCAGAATTGCCATTGCTCAGCAAAACGTGGAGTTGGGACATGGAGTAGAACGTGTCATGATCTTTTTTTGTTGCCGGCTTTTCCAAAATACTTCCATCAGCAGAGCCTGGCTTTCAGGCATGCTTTCAAAGACGCAAAAATCAGCCAAGGCAATCGGTCTCGGGTTTGATAAATCACATTGTACTTAAAACGCAGCCAACGGGGACACGAGTGGGCCAACTCCACTTTGAGATTTCAAGCTTGTGAAATTTGCAGGACCTCGCTTTTGGTGGCTACGTCCGTGGCATGTTTGTCTTGACAGAAATTGCGCTTTTCTTCAGAGTTTGCCATTTCATCAGTTATAATGGGTTCAGAGTTGGATCACATTCGGATTTTCGTATCGGTCTTTACGGTTCGGCACTTTGAGTCATCTTCCGTTCCCTACGGTGGAACTCGCTCTGCATATTCTGAGTTGAGAACGCACAAAAGTGAAGGGCGCGACAATTTTGTCGTTTGGGCCGACCGAATCGCGGCGAGCCAACCAGCTTTTGCTGCACTGGATGTGTCACGCTCGCAAATTTTTGGAAATGTGTCAAGTGTCTCTGTCGGTCAGACGATCTTAGCCAGGTGTGAGCGTAAAGCAGAAGTTACCCGGTGTGGCAGGAAGTGGCAAGTCCACGCACCAGCTGACCCTTTGGCGTCTGCAGGACATGACCCCTCCCCCTCCACCAACAAATTCCCAAAGCTTCCCAGGAGACTTTATCTTGTCCCGCTTAGTCTGTTTGGCAGCTGTCAATCGAGTAAACGGTGATGTCGTGTTGCCGCAACTAACTTCCTGTGTGTAGGTGTGTCTGTGTGCGTGTGTGTGTGTGTGTGTGTCAACACACGTGTCGTCATGGTACAGCAAGTTGAGCGCACTTCCCGTATGAGCAGCAGTTGGCACTTCCTAAATCTTTTCTGTGCAAGAATCGTGTTGTGAATAGTTTGTCGTAATAGTTTTTTTTCTTTGGCTTTTTTTGAATGACATCACCGCAGAAGGACGCTGGAAAAGGTGTGGCAAGAAACATGGAACCTTGACTAGAAAACCTCGCGACAGCCAGGAACGCTTCAGACAACTCGGAGCGTCACACGCACATTCAGCCACCGACAAAGCGAGCGAGGCCACTTGCATCCACTAGATGTCGCTGTCGGACAGGTTTTCGCCCTCCACCCTCCTGCGCACGCGTCGTGAGGCGACGTCTCGGTTTATTCAAGTAACGGTCGTGTCAACGAGGCACTTCCGCTCGTTTTATTTTGAAAGGGCGCAGAGCGGACGTGTCGCGGTTGTTTTCTGTTGGCCGTTGAGTTGGATGCGGCTCGCGCAGCATCTACGCGGCAGGAAGCGGACCGAGAGGCGGACGGCCACCGACGGCGAAGAGGCGGCGGTGGCGGCGGCAGCGGCACCAGCAGCAGCATGGCGACGCCAGGACCGGAGCCCCTC